TATATATATATATATATATATATATATATATATATATATATACAAGATACAAAAAAATACTGTGAACACAACAATTGTGGCGCATCCTGACCTCCACACCAGTCGAGGCGCTGTTTCTTGGGGGAGTGTCTTTTTTGCAGTGTTGTTAGATTATTTAAAGATAAATACGTATTATAGACTATAATGTACAATGTTTATATAAGTGTGCTATAGGGTGAAATAATTCGGAGACACTAGTGTCTCATTTCTTCAAAATACGATAATTTTAAGCCACTGTTAAGGCACCAATATTTCTTATCTGGCAACACTGCGGCCAGCAGGAAGACAACAACACTCACTGATCTACCATGTAAACTGGTGGCGTTATTTGTAAATATAGTTTTGGGGATAATATATCAGTAAAATGCCAATATTTGACAGCTTGGGGAGTGGAGTAGAGAAGACTGCCGTGGTCATTGATTTAGGAGCAGCTTTTACAAAGTGAGTATCAGTCTTTAGCGCATCTTGCTAGTGGAGCTAGCTACTATGTTGTTCTAGCATGCTAACATGTAGCATTGGTTTATTTTTCAATCTATTTTTAATTTCACCGTGTGCGTGTGTGTGTGTGTTTAGGTGAATTTGGGGAATACAAATTATGTTTAAAGTGGACATAAAAATAGGAAGTACGTGTTGTAATAGTGACATTTTACCGACTACGCTTCCTAACAATGTTACGTGAATATTGCTAGCTGAAAACTGAGCTCTGGCCAAAATAGCTAATTACTTTCCATAAACTAAAGCGTCTCACTGTGCAGACACATTTAATTAGATTATGCAGTCAAGCAGCGCATCTAAATGTTCTCAATTTATAAAAACACGAGTTTCATTCAAATAAATCTCCGGCTCAGCACCAAAATAAAAGTCAATTAAAATCTTGCTACATACAAGCCAATTAATTTGCAAATGTATCAAATACATTCAGTTTTAGATTTAAAACCTGTTACTTAAAGTGATGTTCAATTCACTTATACGATTTATTAGCATCAAATTCAGTTGTTAGTCAAATAATATTTCTGAGATATGCAAGTATTTTTCATCAGTGAGGTCTCAGGATGTTATTTGAATAATGTACAAGATCTAAGTCTCTACTCTGGGGCGGCTGTGGATGAGTAATTAGAGCAGTCGTCCTCCAATGCAAGAGTTGGGGGTTCTATTCCACCAGCCAAACATGCCAGAGTGTCTCTAGGCAAGACACTGAACCCCTCATTGCCTCCGATGTGTGTCCCATCGGTGAATGAATTTCAAAGAATCACAATGTCACAACTTTATTCTCAGTGCCCTTTTCCAGAGGAGAAGCAGACCTGAAACAAATCACATAAAACTCGAGAGCACTGCTATGCGCTCCTCCTTAATATAAAGATTTCTTTGTTCAGTTTTAATCCAGCGTTACTAGACACAGAGCTCCACTGTTATGTTATTTATAAATAACTTCTCCTTTTAAGGATTTTCCTGTTTTTTCTGTAGATTACAGTTATTGATGAACATTTTATTACCATTTTAGGTTTTACAGTTTGCATGAGTGACAATTTTTTTAGCTTAAACTAGAGAATTAAAGAGAGTTTAAAAGTGTTACCACAGTTCACTAAGCTATTACCAGATAAGAGATCTCATTTGCAGATGTTTTGAAACAGTCATGAATAGCAGGACAGCTGACTGTCTGACTTTTCTCACAGATGCGGCTTTGCAGGGGAAACGGCGCCCAGGTTCATAATTCCGAGCGAGATCCGGAAACCGGGTCAGCAACAGGTGAGTCGTCGAGAATTTGCTGCAAGTAAGCAGCTGGATTAACATCTGGAATCAAAATAATGGTGTGCAACGTCTCGCTTTCAGGCCATCAAAGTGGTTCAGTACAACATCAACACAGAAGAGCTTTATGTCATCCTCAAAGAGTTTATCCATATATTGTACTTCAGGTGAGTTTTAATGAAATTATTAATAATATTTGAATAGTTCGTTATTTTCAACTATTAAACAACTGAAAAACAAAGTTTGTTTCAGTGTTTTCAGCAGTAATAGTGCACAGGTCCTTGTACGCAGAACACAAGTCACTACTAGCAATAATCAAAGTTCACCCTCTTGTGTCGATCAGGCACCTGCTGGTGAACCCTCGCGACCGAAGAGTGGTGATCATCGAGTCCATCCTTTGCCCGTCCCACTTCAGGGAGACCCTCACCAAGGTTTTCTTCAAACAGTTTGAGGTACCATGACAAAGCAAATATTTGTTTTAATACAGAGTGCTAAGTAGATAAATAACTAATGATAATATTGTTTGTATTTTATCAGTTTTATTGGCAGCCAAAACACATCTTGCATAAAAGCTTTTATAAGTAGTGAAACTGAAGTTTAATATGTTCAGTATGTTTAATGTCTGTTTTTCTCCTGTACGTTGGAGCTGTTCAGTTTTAATCTTATTAATGTTTATTTTTTATTCAGGTCCCCTCTGTGCTGTTTGCTCCGAGTCACCTGATGGCCATCATGACTTTGGGCATAAACTCTGCTCTGGTGATGGACTGTGGATACACAGAGACACTAGTTCTGCCTGTATCCTTTACATTTGGGTGTGAGCTAATACTTTTTTTAATTTTTTTAAAGGGCAACTGAGATAATGTGGCAATATGCAGATTTAGTCATTCCTCAGTTGACATCAGTTTCAAAACTATTCTGCTTCTATGTTTTTTATCGTCACATTTTTTAACAGCTTAGTGTCTTGAAGCTGAGAATGATTTTTGTTTTTTCTTCCTTTTGCTTGATGAAGAGTTTCTGGTGGTGGACCATTTATTACATTTTCTGTGTTTAGTTTTGCACAAGGACAGGCACTGGCAACTGTAGTGAACTAGGCCTCCGACAACAACCTGTCTCTGAAGACCTTCAGGGGACAGGAACTGTAATTTCATTGATTTGAATCCAGAAATACAAATTATCTCATCGAGAGACTATTTAATTGTATCCTGAACTAATGAATTGAAAGAACACTCCTGTCCCCCAATTGAATTCAATTGATTAATTCAGGATACAATTAAATAGTCTCTTGATGAGATAATTTGTATTTCTGGATTCAAATCAATGAAATAACAGTTCCTGTCCCCTGAAGGTCTTCAGAGGACAGATTGTTGTCGGAGGCCTAGTTCACTACACAACTGTGGCATTTGCATGGATTAAAGTTCTCCGTCGCCTCAACAGATTTCCGTCATTTTAATCATGGCAAGGACGGATTTCCATCATCTGTAAAAATGAGGAGGGGGGGGGGGAGTGTGTTTTGTTATGGTCTTTTTAAAGCCATCTAATCTAATGATGATAAAGGAATTAAACTGACGCTGCTTTTAACAAATAAATAAAACCAGAGTCACAGTTTCACCCCATCAGAGCAGTTTTCCCCAAACTCTCAAAACTCTCATCTCAAAGTCAGTTTCAGGTGTTTATAGTTTATCATAAGTATCTGCAAACTTAAATTCTACTCGTGTTTTAGCAACAACAACATGAACAAGTTGTTGTGGTTGTCTGAATGAGCTAAACTTGATTATATTTAGAAACTTACTGATAGGTAACTGTACTGTGATAAATGTAGTTTAATAAATGATCAAATACAGTAGTCCCTTGTTTATCACGGGGGATCCGTACCCTGAAGATCCGCGATAACTGGAAAAACCGCGAAGTAGGAATAGTAGTACAAGTAGTCAAAGTTCAGGAGTGTGTGGGGAGGGGGATGCTTAAGTAACCACTGTGTAGAAAAAACATCTGTCCAAATCTAGTTGTTTTTTTCTGCTTTAGTCTCTGCATTTGGTTTTAAAAGCCAGCCCTGTTCACTCACTGATTATGAAAAGTGTTTCTTTCGACACGCACTGATTCTGCCTGTTTTTAATGCCCCCCACACCATCGCTCAGTTCACAGCCCCTTTTGTTCTGTTTTCTGTAAGTTTGTTTAGATTCTTCAGGTATTTGATTGTGCTGCAGAAGATCTGGTGGCCAAAATATTTTCCTGCAGGTTTAGGTTGAGAAACATTAAATTTCACTGTTCAAGTCCACAGGAACTTACCATATTTGTCAAATACAGCAGAATATCACTTTAATTATTTGATTGTTTTTTTTATGTCTAATTTGTATTTATTTGTATTAGGGCTGGACAATAATTCGATATCGATATATGTCACGATATACTTTTATTCAATAACGATGATATGAGTTTTAAGCACATTTTTGATATTTCAATATGATTACAGCGTTTCACTGACTCATTTCTTTTTCTGTTTGGGAACAAACAGAAAAGGCCTCGATACAACTACATAAGTGTGTGACGTAGATGTTACGCATAGCTCGAGTCCAGAAGGAGCCAGCAGTAGCAGGCTAGGCTAAGCTCCAACACGCTGTATGTTTTTGCTTCAAAATGAGTGCCTATTGTTTCATTCTGTTCTGTCTTACTCTAACTATACAGACTGGACAGTTAAAGCAATGTTGTTGCTTACTATCAAGTTTATTGTAGCAGTACAGAACTACATAACATGTGTATCTCCCCTAGCCCATTCTCAGTCTGTGTCACACACAAATATATCCCCCTGGGAACGTAACCTGAACAAACAATCCACTTGTTACGACTACGACCGTCACAATGTAACTGAACAAGCTTTCACAAGCCAAGTGAAGAGAAAGCGCATGACATAATTGATAAAAGAGGAAAGACTAATTCATCTGCGTGGAAGTGGTTCGGCTATCTAAGATCCGGTGAACTGCAGGTTTCAGTGTGCTGCAAAATGCGCCGGAGAGTTGTTCCAACTAGCGGTGGGAACACATCTAACTTGTTTCATTTGAAGAGTTTCCACTCGATAGAATATGCTGAGAGTCAGAAGATGAAGCACAATAATAGTATGAGCCAACGTGTCCCAGTGTTTAAAAGGTGAACATTAATTTATTTGTACCGTTTGTACATTTTTTCTGAGGATTTTATATTGTTTATATCTATCGAAATTATATCGTTATCGACCGAAATTAAGAAATACATTATGATAAAAGAATCAGCCGTATCATCCAGCCCTAATTTGTGTAATTTTTTTAATTTATTTGTATTTGTAATTTGATCCACCTTAACTGTGGTCACTCAGGTTTATGAGTGTACTCCTATTCTACCAGCGTGGGAGGCTTTACCACTGGGGGGCAAAGCCATCCATAAGTAAGTAGAGCAAACAAACCTTGTTTTATTGACTATAAAAATGAAACTTTCTGTGACAATTTTTTTTCCCGCGACTGTTCATAATCTTTAATTTTTTCCACTTTATTGTGTTTGTTGCAGAGAACTGGATGGATTTCTGGTGGAACAGTGCACTGTGGACTCAGACTCCACCACCGGGCACAGTGTGCCCGCTGTCATAGGTAATTCAAGAAAATCACCACAATTTACACCTCTGTTTTTTTGAAAGGGTGACAATTTAAAAACCATAAACTCTATAAATGATGGTTGTTTTTTAAAGAGTACAAAGCCAGAGAGCAAATAAAAGAAAATAACTCACCCATTACACATAATTAGCTTTTCAGATGACATTTGGATGCATTCTTTTCCCTCTTTGTAAATTATTCACAGTCATGTAGACTTTAAAAAAATCCTCCACGCATTTTCTTAAAATGTCTACACTTATTCATCAATAACTTAAACTAAGAAGAGGCTTCATTAGATTGTTAAAGTGCAATACTACGCAATCTGCTGGCTTCCTTAGATAGATCATTTTTACTAATTGACTTTCAGTGCCCTGTGATGACTTCTGTTGTGACTTGGTGCTATATAAATAAACTGAACTGAATTGAAAATTTAATTGAATTTCTCCAGAAAAGTCCACATGGGTGTAATTACCCCCTTTCATGTAACAAAACATGGTGTGACATACAAGCTGAGGTCAATGAATGATTTGTGCCACAACATGTTTACCACCAAGCTGTTATACTTCATTTAGTTCCTGCTTTCTCAGCTACTGGTTTAGTGTAATGATTCTGATTGTGAGGCAAAACATAAACGAGTAAAGAACACAACAGACACTTAATTTAGTTTTCCCACTTTTGTCTTATTTTTTTCTCCTCAGGGACTATTCCAGAAGAAACCGTTGAGGACATAAAGGGTACGTTTGGCTTGAATCGTATATCTTCTTCACTTATTTACTCCAAAGGTAGCATTAGTGAGCTAAACTAGTACTAGTCTACATTATTTCAGCCACATTCATCACCAAGTAAAGTTAACGGTGACTAAATTGTCAGTGGTCTTTCCAATAATCAGCTGAGGCCTTTTCATACCCTGGGCCATCATCACAGTAAAACTAATCCTTTACGTTCCACAATATTCAGTTAGGTATGTTTAGCTGTCTTTGACTTGTTTGCTAAGAAAACTTGAAAATGTAACTTTCTCAGATGATGTGTGGCATGATTAGATTGATTATCAGGTGTAACTTAATGTACCTAAGGTACCTCCCGGAGTGTAACTTTCAGACTGATGAAGTCTTTGGGATAAAAGACGAAACGTTTCAACGAAGAACAATCCGTCCAGATTACCCGACTCAACCTTGTTAGAATCAGGTGTAACGTTTGTATTGAAGATCTCTGATTTCTTGGATTGTGCTGAAGATATGTTGTCAGCGTGGGCAAGGATTATAGATTATGAGTCAGTCTTCAGTCAAATAACTGTTTTTGTTTTGTATTTTTTAAGTTTGATTGAATCAAGGGGTGTTTTGTTTTTGGGGTCGGCTGTGGCTGAGCGGTTAGAGCAGTCGTCCTCCAATGCAAGAGTTGGGGGTTTGAGTCCACCAGCAGTCGCATGCTGAAGTGTCCCTGGGCAAGACACTGAACCCCTCATTGTGTCCCATCGGTGTATGAATGTGATAAAGCTCTGATTATTCTTTGTACAGATCTAGTAGAGTGCTGTATGAATGGGTAAATGAGGCACAGATTGTGTTGTGAAGTGCTCTATAAGTGCAGTCCTTTTACCATTTGTTTCTTGCAGTCCGAACATGTTTTGTCAGTGACCTGCAGAGGGGACTTCAGATACAAGAGGCTAAGTTTGGCTCTGCAGAGGTAAGCAGGCTCTTTGCGTGCAGCTTATTTAGTATTTTATTGCTTCTGTGACTGAGGGAACACCTGTACGTTGGAATAACTTCTCTGTTCGTAGCGTCCAGCTCCTCCTCCAGATGTTGCCTATCCTCTGAGCGGGGAGAAAATCCTGCACATTAAAGGATCGATCAGGTAGCGTTATGCTTTTATATTTCCTGACATTTGTTTCTTTTTTTTTCTGCAGTTTTTTGTGTTAAGACTACAGCTTGAGTTTTTTTGTGCGTCCGTCCCTTTCGCTCTTTATCTTTTTTTCTAGGGACTCTGTGATGGAGATTCTGTTTGAACAGGACAACGAGGAGAAAAGTGTGGCCACTCTGATTCTTGATGCTCTAGTCCAGGTATAAAAACAGAAAATAAGTTCTGTATTATATTTACTCGTTGCTTTATCTTTTATTTATAACACTAGTTTAGTTCATACTCTAAAATGGTTTAAATCATATTTATCTGATAGATTCTAATTTGTAAATGTAAATAAAGAATCGTCATCATACACCAACGTTAGTCATGGAGTTCCTCAGGGTTCAGTGCCTGAACCAGTACTCTTTACCTTCTATATGCTTCCATTAGGTAAATTTGTTAAGCAGCATGGTATAAATTTTCATAGTTATGCTGATGATACACAGTTTTATTTGTCCATGAAACCCAATGAATCCAGTTAGTTAGACTACAGTTGTGACTTGGTGCTATATAAATAAACTGAATTGAATTCATAAACAGCAGCTGCAGCAGGTATTACACAATAAATTATGTTTTTATTTTTTTATTTGTGTGATCAGATGTTTAGTTGTTTGTAATTATTTTGTTTTCTTTCTCAGTGTCCCATTGACACACGTAAAGTTCTCTCGGAGAACCTGGTGGTGATCGGGGGCACGGCCATGCTGCCGGGCTTCCTGCACCGGCTGCTGGCAGAGATACGCCTCTTGGTGGAGAAACCCAAGTACAGCAACGTGCTGGCCAGCAAGAGCTTCCGCATCCACGCTCCACCTGCCAAGCCCAACTGCACTGCGTGGCTCGGAGGTTAGCTGAAGCGTTGTTACTTGCTGACTGACTGAGTGTGCACAATTTCTAAACCAGTTTTGTGGATTAAAAAATTTCTCTTCAGCACATTTGAGGAAACCAGTCAGCCTCTTCTCAGTTGTTCAAACATATAAGAATTAATTTCAGCCTCTTGTAAGATGTGTAAACTTTTCTCGTCTTTTTCATTCGCCTGTAGGAGCCATCTTCGGAGCCCTTCAGGACATTCTGGGCAGCCGCTCGGTGTCGCGAGACTACTACAACCAGACGGGTCGCATCCCAGACTGGTGCTGCCTGAGTTCCCCTCCTCCTGAGTGCTTGTACGATGCAGGAAAGGTTCCTCCTCCGCTGATGAAAAGAGCGTTCTCTACAGAAAAGTAGAATATTTTGAATTCCACTGCTCCCTCCTGAAAGAACAATCCGCTGATCTTTAATGTAACATCCCATCACTCGTCTAGCTTATGTGTTTACGCCACATAGATGTTTTTTTATTTATTTATCCACGAAGCAGGTGACAGTTTTATTGTTTGACTCTCAGATGCTCCTATTTGTTTCAGGGTCTGCCCGTTTGTATAAATTTCATTATTTGCACAAAATAATCTACAAAATCTCTTTGTGGCCTAAAATGCGGAGCTCAGAAATGATTTGGTGCAAAGACTGCACATCTGCCTGGGTTACACGTCTATTTTACCCAGCACCATCTGCAGCTTAACAAAACAGGAGCATGTGCACATTAGCAGGGTCCCAGTGAGTTCGCAGACAAACGCACCAATAAAACCATCAATAATGCAGCAAGTGGAAGGAGTTTGTTCTTTAACAGTTTATTTCAAAGGCAGATGTGTCTGCTGTCACGTCGTGTCTTTAACGTGCACCTTCTCATCAACTCACTCGTTTTCTTTCTGATGTCCTGGATGGTGCAACTTAAAACTCCGCACTGTTCAGCAGAAATGTTCTGAACTGCAGTTCAGCTGAACTTAGTCACTCATTTAGTCAACGAGCAGCACTGCTGACTCTGAAGACATCATGTGTATGATTTGTTATTGTCAAAAGTCATCACCCACAGAGATTCTCCAAAAGAAACAAGATGTTGCTCTTAAAATGTTGTTTATACTTATTTATACGGTAGGATGTTGATGTTTATAACTCAATAAAATCGAAGAAACCCTTTATACATGGGATTGTTTTATACCCATAAATATTAGAGCAGGTCTTACTGCTTAAACACACTTTAGTTTCAATTTAATGTGTTTCTCTGCATTAAGCCGATCAGAGAGGTGTCATCACTACATGTAGACAAGATACACGAGAGCTGTTACCAGCTAATATGAACATTACCTGTGTGTTGTGTGAAGCCATTGAAAACATATTTTACACGTTACGTTGGACATGCTACTCTGTAAACTCATTGCTACAAATAAATACTCAGTACTGATCCAGGAGTGGTTTTTCTCGTCCTAGAATAAAACTTATTTAACCTCTTTTCAGTTCTAACCCAAGAAATGCCCAAAACATCTGGGAAAAGATGCTGTTCTTGAACCCTTCAGAGTACATGCAAAAGCCTGGTCTCTGTAAAGGTAACGTCCATCCATCCATTATCTTCTACTTGAAGTCTGGTCGCAGGGGCAGCAGCTTGAGCAGGGAGGTCCAGACATCTCTCCACAGCCACCTCTTCCAGCTCTTCTGGAGGCACCCCGAGGCGTTCCCAGGTCAACCGAGAGATTCTCCAGCGTGTCCTGGGTCTCCTCCCAGTCGGACATGCCCGAAGCACCTCCCTAGTAAAGGTAACGCTGAATTTTTAATTAAGCAGTGAAAATTATTGTGACTATAAATACTGTAGTTGACATAACTAGTATATAGGCCCTAAGGAACCATAGATCAATCCAATTGGTCTAAAGGGGTGTCAATCAAAAAGGGAGGGTCTACACATCCATTGTAACAGTATTTAAATTTGAAATACTCTTAGACTAAGATGTTCAGCTGAGTTCTGTGATAAGCTTTTAGACACTTTTCTATACAAATAGAAAAACGGCACACAGTTCTACCTAAAATCAAGAATCGGTCTAAGCTCAAACGTTCTGTGCTGTGAATGACTCTCGGCTTCTACCACATCAAACTTTAGCTCGTCTGTTAAACGAGTTCTTCTGTTACATATTACATGTGGAGGCCATCTTTAATTGTGTTGACTCCAAAAGTTATTTACTTGTAGGTGAGCATTTAATGACAGCTTGGTAAAATTATACTTCAAATCTTAACAGTGGATCATGAGATATTTTACTAACAAAGAGGGTTGATGCCAAGAGTTTATGCTAGTTTGAATCAAAAATCTGGCCCAATGGCTAGTCCTTGGACTATTTTCAATGACTTACAATCACACCTAATTTTAGCTCTTTAAAATCCATTGGGTCGTACTCATTTTTGTCTGCTAAGGTAAGCTGGCTCTGGCAGCCATCTTGAATTGTACTGCCTTTAAAGTTAATGCGCTGTAAAGTTGCATCCAAATTTCATTTCCTGAAAGATTTTTAAAAAATCCATCCATGACAAGCAGACACACGAACATTAGACGGGTAAAACCATCATCTGCCTCCTAAAGGCCAAGACGGGCATTAATAAAGAAGGCGAATAAAATCTGCAGTTTGAAAATACATATATGTATAAAATACACAAATACAATGTTATGTAAGAGTATTACAAGCTGCAGAAACAGCCAGCAAAGTGTACGGAGCTCAGTGTTAATGTCTCTGCATCCTGGAACAGGAGTTGCATCTGTTGGGCCCTTTGGGTCCCATCAATCACTCGGTGCTGCTACATCTGGACACCAAGCCTGAGAACCGGTAGCATTACCCACAATGCACCTGAAGCAGCTTAACTAATAAGTGTGGGAAATCAGTTTGGATTATTAATCACAGACGTGAACAATGAGGAGAGGGTCCAGAGCAATGGTGAACTCACCAACACTGAAGACCCACAGAAAAATGAAAAGATGTGATCAGTAGGCGAGCATACAAATAATATATACTGTAAATATATCAACAGATGGGAATATGAGTCTTTAACATGGTGGTAGAGTGGGATGGGGGACAGGGGGGGCTGGGTATGGATGGAGGGTGGTCGATAAAATTGTGATGGGAAAACTGTGATTGGGGGCGGTGGGTGGGGGGAAGGTATTTGGTTATGGGATGGAGAGGATAGCAAATATACTTTACAACACCATGAACTCAAAAGGATGTATATACTTCTTATCATATAAATCCTTTTTTTTATGATGTCCTGTAAAATTAATATAATTTCACAGAACGTGAATGGTTTAAAAAACTCAAAAAAAAAAATGCTGTAATATGTAAATTAACAAAAAGTGATGTAGCTACAAGAAACTCCTCTAAGGTAAAATTTCGAAGACATGCACAGCGAGTCCTCCCTCTGCGCACTCCCGCGAATCGATTTTTGAAATGCAGCTGATTGGACCATCAACGTGCATTTATTAAGGAAAAGTTCAACTGAGACACACCTTTACTATCATTTTGAGCAAACAAATAATTGTTTTTAAGTGTTAATATTGTTAAAGTCCACCCATGCACGCTCCCATGGCAGCCAATCGATTTTTGGCACAACACCGTCCCACGTTTCCGGGTTATCAGCGGTGACGCATAACAGATGCGACTTATACGGCGAAGCGACTTATTTATGTTTTTTTCTCACTTTATTAGACATATTTGGACTGATGTGACTTATACGGCGGTGCGACATGTACAGCGGAAAGTATGGTGATTATGGAAAAAAATGAAAGTATGCCTCTAAATAAACTGGCTATGACTCAGTTACCTCACGTGACTAGTTTTAAATGGAGTTCTAAAGGATTTCAATATTGAGGTATTGATTGATACCTTATAGATTGATAAGCAATGATTTAACGCCCATGTATAAACTGAATTATCTTCCATTAGTTGATAACTTTAAAATAGATATACTGTAAATAAATGGAAGAACCTCACAATCTCCTTTTATCAGTAGAGTTAATCTAGTTAAGATGTGTGCTGTTCCAAAGTTTCTTCTTTTTCAGACTCTCAATAAAGTAATGGGATTTAAAAAAAAAAAAATTAATAAAATAAAATTCATTCTGATGTTCTGGAAAAGTCCAGAACCCCTGACGCAGAACCACTGGTGAATTGAGTTACTATCATATTGTTCATCTGAGAAAAAAATAATTATTTTGTCAAAGGCAAATCAGATTTATTTTTTAATCTGAGACGTCACCTTAAATAGAGAATTCCAGATATGAATTTTTTTTTTTTTGGGGGGGGGGGGGTAATTTTTTTTATAAATTAGATATATAATCATGTGAAATGTTATACTTTTTTACGATATAAGTTGTTTTCTTTTATTTTTTTTTTAAGAAGGAGGGTTTGGATTGTAACTGTACATGTAACATGAAATTTGTAACTTATGTTGTGAATAGTACATATTTAAGAAATAATAAAAAGAGTAGCTGATGTGTTATTACTTGCTGACTGTTTGACTGAGCACAGTTTGTAAAGCAGTTTTGTGGATTCTCTAACTTCAGCACATTTGAGGAAACCATTCAGTCAGCCTTTTCTCAGTTGTTCAAACTCATTTATTTTTAGCCTCTCTTGTAAGACGTGTCAACTTTTCTCTCCTTCTGCATGCCCCTGTAGGAGCCGTCTTCCCATCGTCCCAGTGAGTTCGCAGACAAACGCACCAATAAAACCATCAATACAACAAGTGGAAGGAGTTTTTTTTCTTCAGTTAATTTCAAAAGCAGATGTGTCTGCTGTCACGTCGTGTCTTGAACATGCACCTTCTCACCAACTCATTTTCTTTCCGATGTCCTGGATGGTGAAACTAAAACTCCGCACTGCTCAGCAGAAATGTTCTGAACTGCAGTTCAGCTGAACTTAGTCACTCATTTTGTGAACGAGCAGCACTGCTGACTCTGAAGACTTCAAAAATGTGATTTATGTTATTTTCAAAAGTCATCACCCATGGAGATTTTCCAAAAGAAACAAGATTTAGCTCTTAAAATGTTGTTTATATTAGTTATATGGTAGGATGTTGACGTTTATAACTCAATAAAATTATTATTACAGCAGGTCTTACTGCTTAAACACTTTAGTTTCAGTTTAATGTGTTTCTCTGTTACAGCTGCATTAAGCAGATACCTACTGAGTTGTTGCTTGTTTGGGTCAAACCTTCAAAATAACTTTCTATGAGCTCTCACACTCAGAGTTTTGTGAACGACTCTCAGCTACTACCACATCAGAGTTGTAGCTCGGAGTCTGTTATGTTGAATGACTTACAGCCAGATCTCCATCCTCTCAGTTTTAGAGGAACATCCTAATGTTTATTTCCTGAAAGTTTGAAAAATAAAAATCAGAGGAAAGACAGAGTGGCGGCACGGTTTTTTAGTTTTTAGTTTTTAGATTTTAGTTCTATCATTTTAAAATGAGCTGAGTGGTGGCCATCGTTGTGTTTTTTAACATCTGTTGGCTGTGGTGGCCATCTTGAATTGAAGAGAGTTCACCTGTTTATCTGTGATAAACGTCAAACTAGTGATTACTTTCTGGGAGTTTCATTGAAATCCGTCCCGTGGTTCTCAAATGAACGCATGCACACAGAGACACGTGCAAAAACATTATCGCTCCGAGTTCGGCAGCCGGCGTTGACTAAACACGAGGCCGCTCAGTCCCACCTACTGCTCCACATGAGGAAAAAAGCAAACCTCTTCCCACAGCTGGATCCTCCGCAGGATCCCAGAGGCAGGAAGTAGCAGCTGTCCATCTGATCTGGGAGCTGCAGAGGGGACTCCCTGTCCGTAAAGAAATATAAAC